AAACTAACTAATTACTATACTATCACGTACCCAACCTACTACTTAACTACTAGTAGTAATATATATATATATATATATATATATATATATATATATCATGCTAGGCATATCCCTTCTATTTAGGGTTGGCTGTATGAATCCTTTTTGCTATTCCGCTCTATCAAGCACCATATCCTCAATCAGTCCATAGGTTATCAAATCTCTTCCCATGACTTCCATCAAATGTCCTTTTGGACCTTGGCTTTTTAGAGCCTCACTTGAAAAGCTTGGCAAAAAAACATTTTCTAGCATGAGAAAACCCCTATGATAGCTCGAAAATTTTTCACATTTGGTTATGAAATTTAAAGCTTTAAAAAATGGTACAGAGCTTGTAGATCTATCAACACTTGAAAATGGACAGTTTAGATAATGGGTTACAAGATACACTACTTTTAGGGCTTGAAGTCCTTTTTTTTTAAACATCCATAATGGTCAAGGTCGAGATGATCAATTGATGATTTTCCAATGCCAGAACTGCAATTTTCAATGAGATTTAAGATCTAGCTTTACTTTTTCTCATAAAGCTTAGGCCTTATATATATATATATATATATATAGAAAGGAGCCTTTGTTCTATGACAAAAAGTTAAATCACACCTCGAAAACTATTGAAAAATGTTGTTCTTGCACCAAAAAACCTACAAATTGGTCATCTCGACCTTGAAAATTATGGATTTTTAAAAACAAAATGGATTTCAAGCCGTAAAAATAGTGTATCTTGTGATACATAATCTAGACTTCAATTGTTGTGATCTGCACCATTTTTGGAGGTTTAGATTTCATAATCAAGGGTGGAAATGGATTTTCAGGCCATCATAAAGATTTTTTCCATTGAAATTGCATTTTTGCTGGGGTTTGAGATGCGGCTTTACTTTTTGTTGTAAAGCCTGAGCTGTATTCTAGCCACATCCTGTATACATTCATATAAATAGTTTTTGGGATTGTTCACCTACTTGTAGCCGTAGTCTATGTGAAACCTTAAGGATTTTAAGCAGTCCTAGCCTTGCAGAAACTAAGCCCGGAAGAGTCGGTACAACTCCTTCCTATGGTTTTAGCTTCAGATGTGATGAGCGAGCTGAGAAAAGAAAAGAGGTGCAATAACTATGTGCGTTAATCATGTTTTTAATTAAAACATCTCTATACCACGCATCTGCATTCAGGTATCTAACTATTGTCTCATTTGTCTATCCACCAGTTCTATTCAAAGCTAGAGGAGAAGATTCATGCAAAAGAAGTGGAGAAAAGTAACTTGCAGGCCAAATCAAAGGTGATGCATATAAGTCAATGTATTGAACAATTTTTCTTTTGCTGATTATGGTACATATACATTTAACTAATTTTAACATAGGTGTAAGTGACATCCTGTATTCATTCTGTAGGAGACTCTAGAGGCTGAGATCAAGCTTCTTAGGAAGAGCTTGACATTTAAGGCCAATCCCATGCCGACCTTTTATCAGGAACCTGCACCACCAAAAGTTGAGCTGAAGAAGGTAAATACAATGCATTATGGAAAATGGTCTTTCTCCAACTGATCAATTTTTTTATTCATTGGCAATTGGCATGAAATGTTCTTACATTATACCAACTTGAATTTCTGTCATCCTGAATGCAGTACCTGTGGTAAGTTATATCCAGTATGGCTTTAAGTTTGTGCATCCTTTTCAATACTGCCAAATTGAGAATATATTGATACTCATTGAAATAGTGGCACTTGGATCATGGCCAGTTCTGCACTTCCATATTAGCAATCCACGCCTCTTACAGGGAAGTCCTGCATAGACTAAACGTCAATTAGGAAACTGGTTCATGATTGCAGTTTGTAATTCATGAGATTTTGAGGTAACAAGTGATGGTTCGAATATTTAAATCATAGCATCTGTGGCATTACTTTGATTTGTTATGAATAATTGGAAGGTTAGTTATAATCACTGGTCCTTAATGTTTTGATGTTAATCCAGCAGCCATGTTGTTTTCAAAAGAGCTGATTGTTTAGCTACTTTCCTTTTAGGCTGATCTTTAAATTTGGATGGCAGCCTTATGATCATCGTGTTTGTTTCCAGTTCTCATGTCATTGGCTGTACTTCGGTTATCTATCTGTCTATCGAATCTCCTTACCATTACTGTTTAAGATCATATTGTTCTCAACTATAATAATAATAATAATAGTAATAATAATAATAATAATAATAATAATAATAATAATTATAATGATAATGATAATAACAATAGTAGGAGAAGTAGTAGTAGGAGTAGTAGCAACAGCAACAAAGAATAATAATAAGAAATCGCTCGTGTTGCTTGCATTAGGCTATCCTTTTTGGCTGAATTGGTAATTGTGAGAGGTTAATATGTTCGTGGTGGGTCCATTATGAAGCTACAATACATTAAAAATAAATGAATACTTTCATATGAGTAAACGTATATATTAGAATTCAAGTTAAATGGAATACATACATATGAGCAGATGTGGAAAATTAAAAGTCAAGTTCAATTTAGACGAGCTTTGCTTTATAGGGTGGAATGTTGGGCGGTCAAGAAACAACATACCCATAGGATGAATGTAGTTGAGATGGATAAGTGGCAAGACAAGAAGGGATATAATTTGAAATAAATACATTCAGGAGAATTTAGGTTTGGCTCCAATAGGCGATAAGATGAGAGAAAGTAGACTTAGGCGGGCTGACCATGTGCAACGCAGACCCAATACAATACATGTTAGGAGATGCAAGTTGGTTCGAGTGGAAGGCTCAAAACGGGCAAGAGGTAGGCCTAAAAGGACATGGTTGGAAGTAGTGAGAAAAGATATGGGGATTAATAGACTCACTGAGTGTATGTTGATAGAGCAGAATGGTTTGTAGAGATGACCCCACATAGTTGGGAAAAGGCTCTGATGATGATGATAAAGTACAAACTTAAATAACGTTTATATCTTCGTCTTACATGGATATGTTTTCATCTTTTGCCTTATTGTAATGTCCATCCTAACTGTCCCCATTGAGTAATGATACAAGTCAAGTTCTATAGACACTTTGAATCGAGGTTTAGCTTCACATTACATTTGTAATTGTTTCCATGAAACAACCAATGTTCGAAAATTTGGCTGCCCGACTACCTTGGCGAAAATTAAACGCCTAGGCGCAGTTTGGGTGGGGGCATTATGCGTTTTGCTTTTGGGCGCCCGCCTAGGCAGTCAAGGCGCTGCTTAAGCACTATTGTCTGAGCGCCCACCTAGGCGCCACTCCGTGACAACTTGTGGGTTGGTGGAAAAAAACCCTTGGTGAGCATAAAAAAAGTAATTTCCCCCCCCCTAAAAAGGGGCGAGAAGGGTTCGAGGGGGTATTCTAAACCCCCAATAGAAAATTCATGGCCTTTAGGGTGAGAAAAACCCCTCAAAAACCACTCTTTTGCGATTTATCGAAAGATCGATAGATTTTTTATTTTTTCGATTTCTTTCCAAATCAAAGGCAATAGTTTGTGTGTAGATTCAGAGCTTCTAGTAGTTGATTTTGGAAACTTTTGGCGACCCAATAGACAAGGTTTGCACCGACATCGATTTGATTTTGAAATTTTTAATGTATTATCATATTTGAAAGGGGTTTTGATTTTATTTTGCTACAATATATTATGTTATGAATCATGCGTTGTTTCTTTTACTTTTTTTTCTTTTACGATATATTTACATGTTTGTAGTTAAAAGATTGATTTTTTTTGGTGATTTATAGATTTTTTTTTCACTTGGATGATGAAATTGAGCATATATCGTATTCTTTTATGAATAATTGATTCCTTTTTTGTACAATGTATCTTATTTTGATATTCTATTTTTTTTATTTAGTCTATTTGAGAAATAATTGATTATGTGATTTCTTAATGGGTTAAGTCTTATGTGAAAGTGAAACTAAAGTCTTAAAATGTTTTATATATTTAGTTATTCATTTAAGAATTCCCTTCTTTTTTATGTTTGGGATTGGGGGGGGGGGGGGGAGTTTGATTTTGGTGAGGGTAACCTGTCCCTGGGTGCCTGTCTAGGCAGCCCCCCAACTGCCTAGGCAGCCAGGCACCCAAACTGCCTTGACGTCCAATCCGCTTTTTTAAACATTTGGAACAACCAATACTCTCTATCTCAGAATCACTATAGTACTAAGTAGGGTTGAGATAGTACTCTACTAGGTGTAGGGGCCTCTCCAACGGTAAATCCCATTTGTCATCTATAATTTTCAAAATGGCGCGATATTTACTTTCATCATTCTTCAACTTTATCTTGATTTATTCTTTTGCAACCTCATTGCCTTGTAAACATGTCCTATTACCGGTTCCTTTTCACTATCCACAATGCGCAACACCTTTACAAGAGGATAATGTTGAACCCCTGTCCAAAACCAAGGTGTTATAACAATGTCATACACAATTTTCCCTTTTGCCTCCTTAATCCACTTGCTTTCCTTCCAATTTGAAGAGACAAACATGATTCGAAGCTTGTCTTTTTGTTTATTAAGAGAATCCAAAAACAAGTATGAAGTTGCAAACCTTGTGATCCCTGGCCTCACCAAGTCAGCCCCTCCCTTATACTTCCTAATTATGGCTAAGACATTGATGTCGCTGTAAATGAAATTGTTTCAGCTTCTGCTTTATCTATTATCCCCTTCTTCACTTTTTTCTTGCTAATTGCCTTGCATGAGGTCAATGTGATGCATCGTGCAAGGCGTTTAGAAAATGAGTGGCCTCCTAATCCCCAATAATCTAGCAACTGCCATATTACCGTAGCCATATCAGTGACAACTCACACAAAATGTGACCCCCACCCCCCCCACCTCCTCAATACACTTATCCACTACTCCAAATATGAAACTTACATCAGGAATCTTAGCAGATGTGTCAATGGACTTAAAAAAAAAAGTTCCCATAGAACAATTTACCAGTGAATTCATAATGCTTATTGCCCTCTTATGGCTCCAAGTATCTATCATAATGGTTACCCCACACTTGCCTCATGCATCCTTGTGTGTATTCAGGTACTCATTTGTGAGCTCCACTTCTTTTTTAAACAAAGGAACCTTGAGTTCATAAGGTGTAAGGGGCGTTATATCCTGGGCTAAACTGCCCTACTGCCTCCAACATAGCTTGGAACCTCTTCAAAATGGCAATATTAAATGACAGATTTGCTTGACTCTCCAGACTAGTCTACGCCTGTGCGCTTTCTCGAACTATCGCCTCATGATTGGGAGGGGTAAAGAATGTACCAATAGGTCCCCTTCTTTGAGGCCTCTTATACCCAAATGTGCTTGTTTTGGATATGGAGGTCCCTTTCTCATCATGTTTATTCCATAAATATTTACAAATCTCTCAATGCCTCATATTGTTGCCTCTTCTCTTTTCTTTTGGACTGCTTGTAAAATGTCCAACATCGCTTTCCTAACATCTCTAGGGACTTGAGTACATGGTGCTACGGCCCCTCTAATGCTAGCCAAATGTTTCTTCAATCAATTAATGCCAGCTGTACTCCTGTTTACAGAATTTGTAAGCTACCTTGTTCTTGTCATTATGATTGGGGCAGAGTTCATAGTTCCAATCCAGATAAATGTTTTTATTTGAACTTGAAGAAGACATTGTGACATAACTACAGCCCTTAGTTATCGACTTATCACCGAATCCCTAAACTTACACAAGACTACCAAATCATCATCATCATCATTATCATCGTCATCATTTTAGCCTTTTCCCAATTAATTGGGGTCGGCTACTTGAATCATGGTTCTCCATTCTGCTCTATCAGGATTCATGGTGGGTTTTGGCACAATTTTATGTTGGTTGTGGATGGGTTAAGGGAAAGTTTAAGGTCATCACCCTTCTTAGACCAACAAGACTACCAAATACAAACTTGAATATATTAACAAGAAGTCCAATGTGTAGATAAATTCACAAAAGTGAGATTAACTCATGACTATGTTGTCTAAATATTTAAAATTTAAAATTGATCATTCAAAGAATATTAAAAAAAGATTATCTGAAAAATTATCAATAGGTGACAAACTAGAAAGAATAATATATAGAAAGAATAATATATTGCCCCTTTTCAATATTTTGACAATCCAAGGAAGAAGTAAAGCTAGCATGCTTGAGAAAAGAAACCTAAAATAATGTTAAAAAACTCAAGGTAGAACTTACACATCAATATTGCAACGATCTAAAGCATCAAGTTGAATAAATAAATTAGGAATCATGCAAGTAAACTGACTCATCCAAAAAAATAAAAAAAAGGTTTGGAGCAATGGACTTTTTCTATTGATTTGGTTTCTCAATCTAACAATCACAAAATAATATCAAGGTAAAACCTGCCCATCAATAAGGCAATGATTTAAAGAAAGAATGGGAAAAAAATTATGAATCATGTAAGTAAACTAACTCATGCAAAAAAAAAAAAAGGTTTGGGGGCAATGGACTTTTCCCCTTTAATTTCTTTCCCAAACTAAAAATCACAAGTATCAAACCATGAGATTAATGCCTTTTTTCAATAATTGGATTTCCCAATTGAATTTTTTTTTTGAAAGAACCTAAATCAAAACCATAGTGATTAGTGAATATGGGATAGTAATCCAAATAGAAACTATTAAAAATATAAAAAAACCAAAAGGGAAGGAAGAATAATCTTAATACATTTTACACAAAAAACACAAAACCCTAATTAAAAATGTTGTAGTACACGAACCTTCTCAAAATAGAATCGACATTGACCCAAATCAGCGAGTTTTGGTTGCCAAAAGTCCTATTTTGCAACCACTCCAAGCTCCAAAAAGAATCTGGTAGAATATCTTTCGATTTTGATTTGAAAACGTTGATTTTTTTTTTTTTTTTATTTCTTGATAAATTGCAATTTTTTTTTTTTAAGAGAGTTTTAAGGGGTAAAATGATGAAAAACCCCTTTGGCAAAGGGCTTATTTCCGCTCTTGGCCAAGGGTTGCCAAGATGCCGCCTAGGTACCCGCTGTACGTGGGCACCTCGACGGTGTCTTGGGCACCTAGTGTTGGGTGATTTTTGGAGCCCGTGAATGGATAAACAAATGTGACTCCAGAAATGCTTAAAATTCCCACCCTGCCAAGTAATTATTCTTGGACAAAGTTTTTCTTTTTCTTTTTTTTAATTTATGGGTAAATTTGTTCCTAGGCTCTGTAGATACCTTGTTGGTTACATTCACATGTTAATTAATGGAGGGACAAAACACTCTATTTATCGATAATAGATGACAACTTTGAAAGGGAAACGGAATATAGGTTACAATATACTACCTTCACCTTTGACTGCATTTCTCTTGACATTTGGGTTTCAGGTAGTGAACTGTGGCTATATGGCTGTTTGTATATGCATCTTTGTGTGAGTGTCTGACCATCTATATGTTGAGGCTTGACACTATTGGTCTCTTTTATAGACTTGTGCCAGGTAGTTATACCGTCATCCCCGGTCATTGTGTCATAGTACTCGTTATGGGAACTGATTTCACCAACTTTAAAGAGATCATATGCTGACACATGTTTCTTTGTCAACAAATATTGATCCTCGTGGGGCCACATATAATCTAGATAATTTTGAAGTAGGACTTCATACATCACTTCTGCCATGTAAGCTTATAGCTCATGTCTTGATAGAAGACTTCTGGTGGACAGTGCTATTTCATATTTCACCAGAGTTTTCTTAAGGTTGGAACCTTTGATTTCCTTCCGAAACATATAATTTAACTTAGGCCTTGTGACTTATCTCTTGAGAGGTCATGGGTCGATAGAGGAGTATTACCGAAAGGAGTTTTAGGTGCGGGTTCCTATCTTTAAGGTTTTGACTAAGGACCCGGTTTCTATGTGGCCAAGCCCGCATATGTAGAAATGCGGGCCTCTTAATAAATATTTTTTTAGATGGATTTTAAGACTTAATTTTTAAAGACATGTAATCTATAACATGGAAATCATGAATATGAATAAATAAATAAATTTGAAAAACTAGAATAATAATTCTAGTAAGAAAACATTTGGACCGTTAGTTTCCACTGTTTTTAGATAGAACACTTACACTTGCATCCATGTTTAAGATGGATGCTTTACACTTTCTGGACTGCATATGTAGAAATGCGGTCTAGCCCGCATAAAACAATTTTCCTTTGACTAAAGGAAAGTGGACCTTTCCTATCTGCCTGAGCGTATTTGATGGCAGGGGAACTCAAATATATTTTGCCGAAGCATAATGATAGAATAAAGGTAGTTGAGAGGATTCACCGGACTGATCCAAATAAAGGGATGGTTGTCGTTAGTTTGACAAAGGCTACTAGGGTTTTCAAAGAGTGTGTTACCACTGGTGACTACTTTCAGGCAATGCATGGAGCTATTTTTATTGCTTGTTGTATTGTCTTCAACGCGCACGGATGCATCTGATTTAACTTAATGTAATATGTGAAAAAGGGGTCTCTAGTCTTTCTCGAGATGGGCTTCTGGTGAAGTTTCAACTGGTTTCAAAATTTCACTAAAAAACCTAATGGGGTGCCTTGGGCATTGCCCGACTAGACCCCCCTTGCCTAGGCTACACCTAGGCGAATTGTCGGTCATGCCACCATAGAGAGCAATAGTATAGTTTCTAGAGAGTTGCTTCTTTGTAATAGAGTGTGAGACATAGGATTAGATTGGGGATATCGTAGTTTTATTTGCAAAGAGTTGAGAGGGTAAAGTTTTTTGTTTTTAAATTGTTAAATTGTTGAAATTTAGTGGTCACTCAGACTCTTAAACAGCTGAGATCCTTGCTCTACTCGAAGGCCTCAAAACTCTTCAACCCCTCATGGAGTCCAGGACTGATCACAGAAGGTCATTCTAGCAATGTAATAGCATGGGCTTCAGGCTCAGCACCTTGTCCCTGGTACTTGGCGCATATCTTTGATGAAATCACCCACCTCAGTAAGGGTTACACTATCTACTGGAGCCACATATGGAGGGACAGCAATTTTGAAGCGGATAATCTTGCGAAGGTGGGTGCTTCTAATGCTAGTGACTAGTAATTTTTTGCAGACTCAGTCCACATCTTGCAGGGCTTTTGGCACTTTGTCCCCGGTTTACTATTTTCTTTACACCATAGGTGAATTTTGTATAGTGCTCCCACTCGATGAGTTGCCATTTTTTGGCTGTACATAGTCTCTTCCTCTTCAGAGACTCATTTTTATAATATTTTTTAACTTTTAATACAACCATTAACTTCCTAAAAAAAAAAAAAAACTGTTGTTTAGGTGAAGAAAATTACAGGAGATTGGGAACCCACAGACTGGGTGCCTGATTAGCCCCAACCATGCTCAGAAAATGCTATACATCCAGTATATAGACAACAAGAAAGGATATACGAAAGATGGGGCTCAGGTGTTTAAAGAAGTGCCCAAAATGTCCCATGCGTTGCATCCTGTGTGGCTCCCTCTTTAGTCAGGGCATCATCTACTGCATTGTCTTCCCCCCAGGTATGCCTCCAAACAAAGTGAATATGCTTGCAAATATGGGAAATTTCGTAAAAAATGTGATCCAGCCTCCAAAGGCATGGGGGGGATCCTAAGGCCCAGGCGATTATGTTTTTAGAATCCTCCTCGATTGTCAAAGTGAGTTGAGAGGATAAAGCTGGTAAAACTGTTTTAAGGATTGGTTGTATGCAATAGACGACACCCTGGCCCTGCCTTCAGGTATGGTGGTACAAAATTATTCGGGATATTGGTTGTTTTTTCAATGATAAGAGGTGAGCCTGAATTTTTTTCCTTTCAGATCGGTGATGAGAGGGGGACTTTAGTGATGCTATGCAGAACAATGGGGATGGTGCCTTAGTCGCAGAACACTGTGGTTCAATACAAGCTTATAGAGTGTTTGATATTGAGATGGCAGGCTGACATTCAGGGGTGCTTTTAGTGTCATGAGATCAGTTTGAGGGAAATGTTTTAGTTGCTGCCTGGTAGTTATTCTTGAGGAGAATTGAGATCAAGCTGGGAGGGTTTCTTTTTCTTGTTGGCATGTTCATAGAGAAGTTAACAAGGTCTTGGATCATACCTTACTGCATATCAAAAATTTCATCCTTGTATTAACTTTTTTGGGAGCCTGAACCTTCAATTTGGTTTAGATTTTCTGCATCCTTGCGGTTTTCCATCTAGTTCTTTTGAGCCCTGTTTTTAATGTTTCAACTGCAACCCTTGGCCTCTAGTCTTTCAAGAAAACACATTGCCTGGCTAACACATTGGAACGAAAAGTGTGCATGCCGAAGGACTTGTGCATTAGGAGCTGAGAAATGAATTCCATTGGACCATTTTTTGGAACAAGTTTGCTGCAACAATTGTTTAATGCATGTGCAGTCTATTGATGTAAGCAACCATCTTTGATTGCATATGTTGTTGGTTTATGAATCCATAGTTCTGTTTCTGAGCTCAAGGAAGGAGATATGAAGAAAGAGAATGCCTTGGCTGTCTTGGATGGAGACACCTTCTATAAAGAATGGACCCCAAAAACCCCCACCCAATCTATATGCACAATGTGACAATCATGTTCGGCCATCGCCCTAAACCAGTGTTTGCTATACCTGACCTGACTAAACCTTAGGAGGATCCCTGATCTTTTTCCTTTTATGTCTATCTGTGGAATATGGAGATTGTAATCACAATGTCGGCAACACTATTATACAAGGGGATGCTGTGTTTATTTGTGTCTGATTTATTTATCCAAAGCTTTTTTCAGCCTTTATGCATGAATATATGAATACTTCTTCCTGATACAATTCAATCTGCAAACTATCCTTTGAAAACGTGTTTATAATGTTTATAATGACTTTTCCCTATTAGAAACATGTAATAGATATTTGATAAAACATGTTTATAATGTATGTATAGTTTATTAAAGGTATGTTTGCTATTTATTACACACTTAGATACCGCCCACAAGAGCGAAATCCCCGAAGCTTGGCCGCCACAAGAGTTCAAGCGGCGATAGCGATGGAAGCACTGGGCGCTCTTGCCGATCAGCGCGCCTTAGCCTGGACGAGACCAAGACAAACAATAATAGCACACCTCCCTCTCAAAATCCAAAAAAATCGCAACGCAAATCTCTCCCCAAATTGCCCTCCGAGAAATCGAACACCCTCCTCGAATCAGAGGAAAGACCCCTTGATAATCAGATTCCAAACTCAGATGAGACGCCAGAATTTGTTGCTAAACCAGATGAAATTGAGTCCATGGTGGAAGAAAGAGAAGGAAAAGCGGTGATTCAATTTTCGGAGAACAAAGAAGGTGAGAGTGAGACTGAAGTCAGTGAACCAGTTGTTGTACCTGAGGATGAACCAGCAACCGAGAAGTGTTGAAACAACGCAATGTGAAGGCTGATTGCCAGTAAATAAAAGAGGTCAGGTCGCCATTGAGTATTGGGAGTAGCAAAGATTGTCGAGGAAGTCTATTTATAACTTTTAGAGAGAGAATGCTACGGTTTGTGGGTGCTTCTTTTGTTCATAGTGTCATGAGCTTCAGAGAGTTTTGTTCTCTCTCTCTCTCTCTTCTGTTGCTGGGTAAATTTGAATGTCGAGCACTACCTCTGTTGTATTAATTATCCTCTCCTTTTCTTTCTACTGTTAACATTACCTTATTTTATACTGTAATTTGTGTCAGTTTTCACCTGCTTTTGCTTTCCCCTTTCTTATTTACATGCATTTTTTTACGTACGTTTTCTTATCAAATATTTAATTAGTAACCCTGTAGAATTTCTTCCTATTTTTATTTTATTTTTATGTTTTACAAATTAATGTTTTCTTTTACAGCACTGCATATAATTGTAGTTGCATACATCATGTGAATTATACGCCATTGATGTACGGTATACAGTATACCACTGGCATCAACAGTCCGTTTCTGATCAGAGATTGGAAGATCACCCTTTGACAATCACTTGGATCAGATGGATTAATCCCCACCGCTTGTCATTAGTACTAATGGTGATATCCATGGCATTTCCGTACACTAGAGTTGTAATTTGTAATTTGATAATTTAGGGAAAATTATGGATATCCTCTTGAAATGTAAAACTCTTCAAATAAAACAAGTGTTTGAAGAAAAGAACGTGGCAGTCCGGTAGAAAGGTGTGCAGGACCGGTCATTAGAATTCACTGGTCATTAGTACTAATGGTGATATCCATTCACTAGTGTTGTATTTTGTAATTTGATAATTTAGGGAAAATTATGGATATCCTTTTGAAATGTAAAAACTCTTCAAATAAAACGAGTGTTGGATTGGAAGAACATGGCTAAAAATTCAGTCCGGTAGAAATGTGTGCAGGACCGGTCATCAAAAATTCTGATAATCGGTCCTGTACATTTTTTGTTGAATGGTATTTTTTGCCATGTTCCTTTGATCTAACACATTTCTTATTAGACCGTGGTAAAAATAAAATAATAAAAAAAAGTTCGGCACTAAAGTATGCCGGACTGATAGTGAAGCTTCTAGAATTCGAAGCCTGAAGTTGGTTCGGCACACTTTAAGAACATATAATCACTAACGTAGAGATCATGAATATAAAAAAATAAATTTTTTTTTGAAAACTAGAAATAATAATCCTTTTAAAAAAACATTTGGACAGGTAGTTTCAATTGTTTTTTAGATGGATCACCTATTTGCATCCATCTTTAAGATGGTTGCTCTATACCTTGGGACCACATATTGTAGAAATGTGGTTCAGCTCACATGAAACAATTTTTCTTTACAATCACTCTTGCTTTTTAGATTTTAAACTGAGTAGTTGTGAGCATGTTATTGACTAGATTCAATTTCAAATTTCTTTTTCGAACTTTATGGCACGTTCTACGCTATTCAATTTGGAATTTAATGGCTAGAGGCAAGTTTAAAAAATCATCGATGTAGATCAAAATCGGCCTATTTGGATCAAGAATCGTTCTACCCAAGCCGATTCCCGCAATATATCGGAATTCGGCCGTGTAACCCCTACAATCGACAATTCCACCGTAGTGATGCTACAGTAGAGTAGGCAATTCTACTTTTCAACCGCGAACAATGATGTACTTTGTTTATGAGTTTTCATCCACGACACTTTTTTGGAGAATTAGTGCTCTCAAATCAATAAAAAATGGTTATAAACCCCTAGACTCAATCGATTATAAGTAACAATATGAGATTTGTGGATTGAAAAATGGGTTTTTTTGAAGGTTTTGTACAAATTCTCCTTTTCTGAGATTTTAGCATCCATTTATAACCAAATCTTATGAAATTTGTTTCTATTTGAAGATAATTGAATTCTAGACAATATTCTTGTTGGAATTTGTTCGATTAAACTATGGTTCCCTATTGATTTTGCTTCCAAAGGCACGAAAAGTTCTTGGAATTTTAACAGTCAACCAAAAATGAAGATGACAGTGCAGATTTTGGTCGATTTTGATCTAATTTCAGTGGGGTTTATGATCCATAGAAATGTACTTTTCATATAAATCGGTATACTTAATTTTCAATTCCTCTTTATTTTTTTACAAATTTGTTTTTTTTTTTTGACCAAGGTTCAACAAATTCATTAAAAAAACTAAAGGGAAATTACTTTATTCGAAACAACAAAAGAAGAGAGTGAACACCCTTTTTCGCCAATGCCTCAACGATGTCATTAGCTTCGCGGTAGACATGGGTGAAAGATATTGAAAGACAATCCACAACATCCAAATTTTGCAACCATAACGATCGCAATTCCTATGGTACCCTCTGCTCTTTCTTGCACCAACGGATAACATTCAAGGAGTCTCCTTCAATGAAACAGTTCAGGCCTAAATTCTTCCCAATGAATGTTTGGACACCCTTTAACAAAGCAGTGAGTTCCCCACAATTAGCCGTAGCAACACCAATTGGCCTTGCATAAGAAAGCACAACATTTTCATAGCAATCTCTAATAACACCTCCAATACTTGCCGATCCCGAGTTTCCCATAGGGCTGCCATCAAAATTTAACTTAAAACTTCGAATCGGTGGGGCATACCATAAACATTTGGGTCTGCTTGTTTAAAGCCCAAAGAATAATGATTGTACAGATTGACTATGACATCAACCTTAGAGATACCCCACCCATCCTTAAGCCACCGATAAAGAAGACCGGATTGATAACTTGATAAAGTGAATAAGCTTGTCTATCGGCAACCCCACACCCTCAAATGTCCGGCTATTTCTCTCCTTCCATACTTCCCATAGGGTCAGACCTTTAGCAATCTTCCAAATTGTAGCACCCACCTTAGGAAGGCAAAGGATACTAAACTGTGAAACTAACCCAATCACTTTCTGTGGTAGCTGTAGAAGAAAACCAACTTCTCCAGTAAGCCAGTGCCAAATCTTTAAAGTACAGGGATAATGGATTAAGAGATGGTCAACTGATTCACTATCCTGTTTGCAAAGCAAACAAATATTAGGTAACACTCTCCCCTTTTTTTGCAAGTTATCAATTGTTAAGATTTTATCTTGCGAGGCTAGCCAAATGAAAATTTAAACTTTATGTGGTATTGACCATTTCCATATCTGCACAATTTTGGGTGACGGACATCTCTAACGATCATGAAAGAAGATGCTATAACATGATTTAACCAAAAACATACCATCCCTTTCAATTTCCCATATCAACATATCTTCCGCTCCCTGAAAAATATAAACTTTATCCAAAAGTTCCATCAATGAGCACCATTAGGACAACATGGTATTGTTTAGTCTTCTATACATAAAACTATATCCCTCACTATTTGCTGACCTCTACTTTCCACTGCGTCACAGATTTTATGATAAGGAGATGAAGCTACCTTAAAGAGGTTAGGGAAAGTAACCTTCAGCAGGCACTCTCCGAGCCACTTGTGGTGCCAAAACAAGATTTGATTACCATAACCCACATTTCATCTAAAGTAACCCGAGGCCATATTCCTACAGTTGAATGTAGCCCTCCACATAAAAGACACCTCTTTCCCTCTACCACCACCCCCTATCTACAGATTTTGCCTATCCATCCCATACTTTGTCCTCAACACTTGGGTCCAAAGGTAATCCTTCAGGTGAATGCACGCCACCACAATTTACAAAGCAAGGCTTGATTGAACCTCGTTATTTTTCATATACCCAGACCACCTTCACGCTTGGGTGCACAAACTCTATCCCACCTTACAAATTTGTTTGTTTTCGTACGAAGGTACCACAAATTTTAAGGTTCCATCATACAAATATATTCACCCACAAATTCGAATCAAATTTCTTGAAATCTGATTCAAAATGATGGCAGTGAACGTGTATTTCGGATCCAATACAATGGACAGAAATTGGAAAGAAAATGGCTTTGGGCCATTAATGCAAACCGGTTTTCGAAGATTTTGAGAAATCATGGTTTGAAAATTAATAATTTTTTAATAAAATTGGGGCTTATGATGCATATGGTGGGTGATTCAATATTTTTAAATTTTTTTCAATTTTGATATCCTTATTTTCTATTGTTTAGGGGAATTTTTTTTTTTTTGAAGATTTTTTTTATATCATAACATTGAAATTTATAAAGGATTTTAATTTTATTTTAAAATTAGATGATGTTATAAGACAAAGTTAAATTTATTCTTATTTGTATGATAAAATAATTCTAATATGTGAACCAATAATTTCAACTCTTGTGTATAATATTATAGTTAGTTAGGTTGTGATAATTTTAAACGAGCAAAGAGAATTAATAAAGGTTCGATGTTATACTAATTTTAAGTTTATATATGGTATTTTTTTTAATCTTATAATATGTAAAGCTTTTTTTTTAAAAAAACATTTTTTTAATATTAAATTATAAGTAATAATTTATAAACTTCCAAACATGGAAATGTCTCAATAGTCACGTACTTTTGCAAATAACAAAAGTACATAAAATTTAACTTTAAAAAATACTACTTTTAGAAATTTCTAGTGGTTTTTTTAAAATTTTTTTAGGCTAAAACCAACCAATATAGCCGATTCTTCTATTTGGAACGCTGATCCACCAATCCTACACAATTTATGGGGTCCCCAATCCGTTTTTCTAAACATTGTGTTGGAGTAATTGTGACGTCCTCGTGCAAATGATAAATGGTATCTTAGTATTCAATCCCAAAATATTTATTTGAACTTTTAGCCAGGCCTATAATAGTTGTACCCGACTACCAACTTTCAAGATTAATGGCCAATAATGATTGGGGATTATATACTATAAGATCATTTATTTTTCAAAATCACAATTATTTCTAATCATTAGATATCAAATTAGATGACTTGTTATGTCACGAAGTTAGAAAGTGAAGAACGTGATTGTGACGTAAAATTTGCTTAAAAGTAAATTCTCTTGATATACTTCTTTTTAATGATTATAACCACCTTTCACTCAAAAAAAACAAAAGGAAAAAAAGGAAAAAAGTAGACTACAATTTGGCAAGTCGATCCTTGTCGTTTTTGCATTGCAAGTAATTCATCGTGAGATAAATCTCTGCGCTTGTGACATTCGTCTTCTGAAATATCTATTATTTTCCATTTAGTAATCAGACGGGTGTCAGCAAGACATTACCCTCCTGAAAAGAGACTTAGGCCCTCCATTTCCTGGTCGAAATCTCGTGTCGACTCAGTAATGGAAGGATAACATCAGAGAAAGAGAGATTAGCAGCAGTCAATTCAGATCCAACGAAAAAGACAGTACAGAGAGAGAGAGAGAGAGCATCAGAGAATAGTGAATTAAATTCCATTGGCGGGGGAGCCTGTCGGTAAAAACCACTTTATGTTATCATCAATCAAATAAAAAACCCAACCCCACCAAAGTTATTTAGGGGTTAATTTTAGGGGATTAGATGATAGGTTTAGAAATTTTGGGTTTAAAAAGAAATGGAAATTAAAAATGAAATCTATGGAGATATTTTTTCAATTAAAAAAACCCACTTTCCCACATGCTTCCAAATCATTTCCCCACAAATGCAACCTGCAAGTTGCAACCTAATCTGGGGAATAAATAATTACTCATAACAAAACAAAAGGCCAAAAAAGAAACTAATACATGGGCCAATTGGCTATACACAATTACACAGACATACGTATGAATGCTTGTTTTCTAACTAATCCATGACCCCTCACCTCCCCTCTCTCATGACCCCACCCACTGTCTTCAATGATCCCACTCACTCGAAATATCTCACCTCATTCCACTGTCTCTCTCTCATTCAACCAGACTTTGCCAAAATAAACAAGCAAGACTGTTATTAATAATTCCCCGAAAATTTACAGTCAGATATTTTCCTAACCTTCATCAAACTCGTTTTTACATCCTGCTACTCTCTCTCTCTCTCTCTCTCTCTCTCCAGAGATCATGATGCGGCTGCAAGAGGTGCAGAAATGGGATGAAAGTGAGGGGTTGGTGCCATTGCCTCTTCTTCCTCTTCATCGTCCATACCGGATGACCATAGGAAATGAGCATAAGACGCAGACACAAAACTGCAACAATACAATCCACAAAAATGTAAGAAACCATCAAAATATAACAAGTTCAGAAGTGAATACAGCATGAGAAGATTGAGAGAGAACAATGAAAATGAAGAGGACATAGTAATATTACCAGTCATCAGGAGCAGCTTTCACAGCTCGATCGAAATATGCATCTGCTCTCTGAGCGTCCTTCTTTGTTTCCCAAAGAAGAGAGGCATAGAGAGACAGAACATCTCCATCTCCGGGATTTGCCAGAATTGCCCTCCCATAATACTCTTCTGCTTTAACAGTGTCCTGTCGAACCTACACCAAGAAATCCCAATTCGAAATCAATACTAAAACTTCAAATTCATCTGTGATAAACCCAATTCAATTCATTAACGAAACTTCAAATTCATCTGTAATAAATCCAATACAATATTGAGAACAAAACTTTCAAATTCATCTTTGACAGAACAATTCAACTCAACTACAGAACTTCAAATTCATCTGTGACATAAAACACAATCTGGAAGCAACGACAAACTTAAAGTTCACCTATGATGAGTTTGTCTAATAAACTATTAAATATTCATCAAATGAGAGCTCCCAATCTTTTGTATCCTGTTCACTCAATACACAAATCAGCTTTTAAACACTAAAAACCTGGCATGTTCACTCAAATTGCCGCTCAAGATAACGTCACCCCCTCTGTTTCTCTCAAACTTGTGAACCTATAACACATACTTCATGCTGAGAAAAGCTCCTTTTCATAAGAAAAATGACAACAGTTTGAATCCCAAGATGCTTTTTAAGCAATAAAAGTACTCAAATTTCTTCTTCAAATACCCTCAAACCCATATCGGTTCTACCTTAGCAATTTGACAAACATAATTTCACACCAACACAAAACAAAAAGCATACTAGTAGAGATGACTCTAATTGTATTTCTCAAAATAAAGACACAACTTGTTAATTCTTTTTCAATCCGATCTATCGTTTTTTTAGTATGCAAACTATTGTTCTTTTCCCCCAGAATTTATGGATAACTAAGAGAACATATGACAAAAGAACAAGGCATGGCAAGAAGTAAGGATCATTCATTACCTCATGCAAAAACTTTGCATAATTCCTGAGAAGAAGTGAATTGTTAGGATCAGCCTCAATCACCTTCTTGTAATAAGCTTCAGCTCTATCATTCTTATTATTATTCGAGTCTGGCCCCTCTATCTCATCTCCTCCAGAGCCATTTCCCCCACAAAACTTTCCTGAATCCCCATTTCCCAAACCCCCACCGCACTCAACGTTGCAATAACCCGAACCCACCATCAAACCCATGGCGGAATCCTGACACTCCATCTCCGCCACCATTGGCTCATCCAGACCGGAGCTCCACAAAATCCTCTTTAATGGCGACTCCGAACCCTTCTCTTCCTCTTCGACAGGCGAAGGGGAAAGGCCCCTCCTAAATGACAATGAAGATGATGATGACAGTGTTTGTCTCCCCTTTACAACGAGATCATTCTCAGAAGAAGCTCTGTTCATTCTCGGCGGCCTGTTTCCCTCCATGGGTAAATGGAAATGGAGGTCATCTGATGGCGAAGAACAAGAGGAAGAAGAGAGGCAAATTGGTGAGATGAATTGGTGGTTTGGCCTCGATTTTTGAAATGGACAGACGAGTTCGGTCTCCAATGATTCCTTTGAGACTGGAACCCATGAGTTCAGTATTGGGGTGGAAGAGCTTCGAAGAAGCATGGTAATGGCTACTGGTTTGACAAATCCTGTGTAAAACAAAAGAAAAGCCTCTAAATTACTTGATGGGGTCTAAATTTGCAGAGATTAATTCAAGAAAATCAACCAAAAACTTCACAAAAACCAAATAATTTGCAATGATTGATTCGATATATCAACCAAACACAAACAAATTTTTAAAAAATAGTACAAAAAAATAAAAAAACGCATGGGAATCAAATTGAGCAGCAGAGATTAATCATCTGAAATAAAGTGGAAGAGATAAATAATCAATAAATCCCAACAATTAGTTCACAGTGTCTTATACTTATTTGCATGAATTTCTCCATTTCTCACGATGGAAATGAAAAACTTAAATCTTGCAGGCTAATATATTCACAGATTGATTAAAACACGAAAAATAAGGAGATCAAAATTACCTGTTATCTCAGATCTTCACACCGTGAGTCCGTGAATAAATTAGTGTTGAAAAAGGTTAGAGAGAGAGAGAGAGAGAGGAGAGAGAAACCAGGAACCAATCACACTGTGAAGCAATGACAGTAAGATCCCGAAGCCATTTTATAAGGGGGGGGGGGGGGGGGAGCAAATGAAGAGTCCAAAAACATGTAGAGAGAGAGAGAGAGAGCGTGGAAGAGGAGAGAGAGAGAGAGAGAAACACGATGAGAGAGAAAGAAAGAGAGCGCAGTTTACTAAGATGAGAGAGAAAGAGGAGAGAGAAAGTCACTTGCGTGGAGATTTTTGCATGGGCTTCTCATGGGGTGACGCACCTAACCCTAGAGCGAGTATCAGCCGTCGGATCTTCCCTAGATGCGCACATTCGCCCCAAAAACGACGGGACCCACAAGAGACTCAACGAGCGGTTGACTGATTCGAATGTAGACCCCACGGTTCTAAATCGGACGGTCTATGAATCCCTACGGCACGTGATTGTGGCTACATGGAGGCCCATTGTGCCACGTGACCATTGGGACCCATGGTCGTCCTTGATAGAGACACGTGTCGGGTAGAAACAATCACCGGTTTTCTGGAAAACCAGGAGTGGTTTTGTTTTTCAGCGGTTTTCTTAGGAGGATACTTTTCGTTTGCGAAAGCGAAATTGGGGTGGGATTTGAGGTTATTATCGAGAGAGTCCTCTTTCTTGTGGCTGTACGGCGCCCGGCACGTCTCTTTCCAAACAGCTTCGATATTTTGGTTGACCATTCTACCCCCTAATTTTTGGCAATGATTTTCCAAAATAAAAAAAACAATTATAATTATTTTCCATGGCAGAGGAAATTACAAGTGAGAAGGTCAATCACGTGTTTCAACTTCAAGATTTGCGATCTGTGGAACCCATATGGAATCAAATATAATTCTCATGCCCCATCCACCTCAAATCGCCTACTTATCTTCACCTATTCTCTTTTTTTTTTTTTTATACTTTCTTAAAATAAAGTTTATTAATTAAATTTTAATATATAGTAGATGAATTATTTAATAATTTTTCCTTTAAAACTATTCCAAAACTCTACACCATATGTTATTCTAAAATTAAATCGAAAGACTAGAGTGTCAAATTGTTAATCTCTCGATGGTGATTTTATAAATTGTCCTCTTTTTTTTTTTCTTTTTTTAACCGATTCTTTGATGTCTAACTCACTGATCCGTATCGCCGATCCAGATGGAATTTGTGGAAGGCCAGTTCCCCTTGATCAGATTTTTGAAAGGTGGGATTTGATAATTTGGTTCTCTAATGGCATTGGCACAGTGTTATCAAAGAACCCTGGGGTTGATTATTTGCAAATTGAGAGAAAATAGCATGATCCGTTTAAGAAGATAATTACAGAAAAATTAAGATATTTTTTTACAACTCATCGATTCATTCACGAGCAATGATTTCATTATCCATCTTCAAAAGGAAACATATATAATGAGATCGTATATTTGTCATACAAGAAGGTTACAATTATTAATCAACGTTGGATGTGAAATCAGGTAGTTGAAGATGTATCATTGATTGGACACAATTTCCAAAATAAAATTTCACGAATGTTGTGACATATTTCAATCTATTGGATTCCATATCCAACGGCTCAAAATAACTGTGATCTCCTTGTACCAAAAAAATAATAATCTCATACTATACAATCCTAAAGTATATTAAGACTCCCTCGATAAATATCTTTAAAACAAAGATATTATCTCAAATCCTAACTTAGACACTTGAGAGTCCTAAGTGAACCACAAAAGTGTCTTTAAATGCTGGAAAGACCTTAATAAGTCCTCGAAGTTTTTACTCTAATTAGGACCAAGAAGTAGGTCTCTCGGATCTATGATAAATATTGAATTAGGCCATAGAATTCATGACAATTAAAAGTGGTTTTTAATCTTAAAAAATATGACATTTATGGAAGAGTTATTGGATTTATTTATTTATTTTAACCAATGCTTGTTCTACCCAATCAGGTAAAGGACTTAGACTTGAAGTAATCAAGTTGGTGTTTCAATTAGAAGGAGCTCTCAATATAATCTTCACTACACACACATATATATATATATATATATATATA